TCAAAGACCGAGTGATGTCTCTTTTTGTTGTTGTTGTTGTTTGATTTCTCGGAATTTGCCTGAAAGTTTCAGTTTCCTGAGCAATTAATTTAAAGCTTGACAAGCAGCTTATTTAGACTAATGGATTTATAGAAGTACAAAAGAAAAAAAAATACCTGAAAAAAAATTACGGACGTAAAAAACATCCTCACGTAACTTTCATAACTTGTGCGGGTGGGCAGGATATTTTAATTGGATTACAGGAGGTAAAGTTTTTAATAACAGCGTGGTAGATTAAGGGGGAGAAGGAAGGGGGTTACAACAACCCAAAGACCCTCCTTGGGTACCCTACCGAGAAGGACACTCCTTCGCTGCCAAATTGAGAAAACTGGAAATTGCTGAAAATAACCATTGATAAATCGCAAGAAATAATCTCAAGAAAATTAATAAGGGCTGGTGTATTTTATCTAAACAGATACAGCATGAACGAGAAGGGATAAACATATTTCACAAAATTGGAAACGACTTGAAAAATATATCTTCATCAGCAAAGTGTAGATTTAAAAGGGCGAAAACCGTAGTTCTCACATGATGTAATAAAATCCAAGATCAAAAATAGTAGGGAATACAAGACAAGTGTTTTCTTGTCTTACCCTCGGAAGGGTAATGAAGGCCACTACTGCATTGGCCTTGATTACCCTTCAGAGGGTATATTTGACATAAGAAAATAAAATGGCTGGTCGAGGAAAGATTCACGACTATGAAGAGTTTATGGTGTCGAGTAATTAAAATCACATCTGGGTACGTGATCATTTTCGTTCCGAAACATTTCAAAAGATTTATATTTCATTTCATGATCGCTCTGATTAAACACACTGAAAGTAAACGAAATTGGCTTTTTTTCAAATAAGTCCTGTACCTTTTCTTTTTTACGAAATTTTGGCGAAAAAAATATTGACTTCGCGATACAAGTTCAGCAAGTTGTTACTGTATGAGTGGTCTACAATTACGCAATTATTCTTGGCTTCAAACCGATTCATTAGCTTATGGCGAGACAAAAAGCGATTATGACAACTTTGATAAATTCCAGACTTATCACCATGCAACAAAGTTTTCGTCTTCAGAAAGATAAAATCAGAAGATTTTAGCCAAGTTCCTTGGTTCTTACCGAAACGAGAAGTGGTTTTTCTAGCTTCAAAAGGTGGTTTAATACTGACGCTTTTAAATACCAATTTTCATTTTCCAATGGGTCTCTGATTTGCTTGATTCGCGTGTGATAGAGCAACATGAACTCCCAAAGAAGAAATTGCGATGGCGTTTGCCTTTTGGATGGAAGAACTGAGATTAATTCAGATCAATACTTCCAACCTGTCTTTATTCATCGCAATGGGGGGGGGGGGGG